CTCGTGCCATACTTTGCTTTACATCAAATTGTATCTTCTTCAATCTCTCCGAGAAGAAAAGGAAGAAGATAAGATGGCCCGGTTATTAAGTGAAAAATACTTCAATGGCTTGACGGAGTGGCCTCAAAACTTTACCCGTTTGGACTGGTTGGTTAGAATTGCTGAGGTTGAAGTTGAGTTAATGCAGCAAAAGAGAGAAACTTTGATGAGAGAGGGGGCTCTCAAGAAGCCAAGGCTAGTCGAGCCGCCCAAGAAACAAAGGTCGCCCCCTATCGATTCTACTAGAACAGATCATTCTCTGAAAAGAAAATGGTCTAGCAATGGGATAAATGATGATCGTGCGCCGAAGAAACAGAGGTCGTGTGATGGAGCGAAGCTTACGGCTTCTGCTACGGAGTCTTCACTGAGAGAGAATAATGCTATTGGTAGGGGTGACGTGGGATGGAAGAAACGAAAGGTGATGCCGAAGAACAATGTCAAGAAAGCCAAGGGATCGACCAAGAACTCTCCGAAGAAGAAAGAACCGATTGGTGGTCCTTCCACGCCTCCGAAATATGACGACTTGCCTGACGAATTCAAGAGAGAAATTGCAACGTTGAAGGGGACTAGGCTGGGCTTGGTGATACAGAAGCGAATTACCATGACTGATATATCTCCCGGCGAAAACAGACTGTCAATGCCTGAAGCCCAAATTGTATCGATGGATTTCTTGGAAGGGAAAGAGAAGGAGTTACTTGAGGGACAGCAAACAATGAAGGTTCAGTTAATAGACCCTGGTCTTGTAAAAGGAGATATAAACTTGAGACTCTGGCTTATGAAAAGCAGCAAACTGTATGTGTTGAGAACTCAATGGGGTGCGGTTGCTCAGAGGAACAAAATCAAACACGGCCAGCTCGTTCAGGTTTGGTCATTCCGGGTTAATGGAGCGCTTTACTTGGCTCTGGTTTTGGTTAAGGAGAGTGGCGGTAAGGGGGATTGTAAGGAGAGTCATGGCAGCGATAGCGGGGGTAGGAGTATAGCTGTGGAGGGTGAAACAAGTAGTGGTAGCGGAGCAGGAACTGAGATAATGGAAGAGAAAAAGGATGATAACAACGGGAATGCTAGTGCGGCAAGTACTGTGATCAATGGGTCGGACCATGCAAGTCCCAACCCTGGAGGAGACCATGCATGTCCCAACCCTGGTGGAGACCATGCAAGTCCCAACCCTAGTGGAAGCAGCAAAGAAGATGCGGACGTGCAACCAAAACTCTGAACCCTAAATTGTAAACTCACATGCCAAAAGATGAAAGCTTTTATAAATCCCTTACATTTATGCAATTAATTAATATACTTGATTAAATTTTGTATTTCTTTGATATTGATTTTTTGCTTCACTATATCAGTTTGTTTCTATTCAATACTTGGTTTTCCTTGTTAGGTCAACATTTAAGTTTTGTTATGGACATGAAATAAAATTAAACAAAATCGGAGAGACAGCACCTTATGTCCAACAATCCAGTACAACTAGAGAAAGTAAGGTTTACTACCCTGTCTGTTTGACCATATATACAAAGCCAAAACCTTTCTATATTGTGCATCACACAGACTTGTTCATGATCAAACTCATAACGAGTGCTGCATATTTACGGTTGGTCGGACACAAGAATTCCTTAGTGTTGACTGGCAGTGCATATGTATAGTTTTCTACAAGTCCATGTGGTAGGCCAAGAGCATCTTCAAAGAAGATGTCAAAAATCTAGGTGAAATGTCACTGTGCATATTTGACATCAAAAGTTTCTTTAACCGAAGTGTTATCTGTTGATTAGATTTGAAAACTTTGTGATTTGGAGTCAAATTTGACATCAATGTCAAATTTAATTTTATTTCATTTTAATGGTGAGTCCCTTGTTCCACTAACATTTCAACCAATTAAAATTTGTTTCAACATTTTTTTAATAATTACAACAATTTAAAGTTATATTTAAATAATAAAATAATATTTGATAATATATATAAAATTTAACATAAGTCTTCAGATTGCCATATCAGCCATTAATTCTAATCTAACACTTAAAATTTGACACATCATTTGGAGATGGTCTAAGGCTTGACCACGTGGCATCATTATTTCTGGCCTAAACCATGCAGAGAAATTAGGACCACTCGTGCACACGACATCTTATCTTCCCTCCTACCAATTTTTCGTCACTCTCTCCACATAAACAATGGATCAGAAAATGCAGAATTCAATGGCATATACTATCTACAGAGAATAATAAATTTCAAGATGTAACGGAAGTTATTAGAAAAACAGAAACCAAAAACAAAGCCAATGGCGTTGTCTCAGTCGTCGCCTATCCTTCCTCAAAACCCAGCGAGCTCCATTGGGCGTCGACAGAGAGATGGCTGCAGCAAAGGTACGAAGAGATACAGGGCTGGATTGAGCTCGGGGTACGGCCATGTGGCGCAGAGCTGGATTAGGGTTTTTCACTTCCTGCGGGGTACGGCCATGTGGCCCAGAGCTGGATTGAGCTCGGGACTGAACCTCCGGAAGCTCTCAACCGCAGTACGACGCCGTATCGAGGACGAAGGCGACTGGTCCTACGCCTCGGAGTGGCGGGGGGAAGAATCCGAAGGCTACACCGTCCTCCGCTTCACATCCGACAAAGGCAATGGCGTTGTCTCAGTCGTCGCCTATCCTTCCTCAAAACCCAATGAACTCCATTGGGCATCAACAGAGAGATGGCTGCAGCAAAGATACGAAGAGATACAGGAGTGCGGTCAGGACAACGAGAGATTCAGAGTGCTCGGATATCAATGGCGCTCTCTCCGCTTTAACGACGACACCCACCAGAGCACCGTTAAGGTTTTGGCTGCCTATCGGCGATCGGAACCGGAATCGATCGCCCTTATGCAGCAGCCTCATTGCTTGGCTCTTCCTTATCTTAAGAGTATGATAGCAGCTGGGTTGGCCACTATAGCATCTTCTAATTACAATCTCATGAACGCGGTGACCGGGACCGAAAATATTCGTATATTGTGCATTGGTCAGGGTGGCGGAAGCTTACCGTTGTTTTTGGCTAGTAAAATTCAAGGTGCTATTGTTGATGTTGTTGAAATCGACCCTCTTGTTATCTCAGCCTCAGTTCGAGCCATGGGATTTCCGGCTTTCTCAATTATGACTCCATCAGGCAAGCGTGCCGTGTCACCCAATACCATGGATACCGTTATGTGGAAAGGCATCCACGAGAGGCTGTTCCTCCATGAATCCGATGCTGAGGATTTCGTTCTCAACACCACCATTCAGTATGATATGGTCTTCGTTGATGCTTATGATGGGGAAGACATATTCCCACGCAAGTTATGGGATCCACATTCCCCATTTCTAAAAGCCCTTAGCAGCCGGCTTCACCCGGATCATGGCACAGTTGTGGTGAACCTTCATTCAGATTCTGATATCTTGAACCCTGACGGTTCCGCACCATCCGTTCTGCAGCAAACTTTGCCAATGGGAAAGTACGTCTCGAGGGTTTGCCTGCAGGCATACAAGGACGTGGTAGTGGGAAGGAAAGATTCTGGTTTGGGGTTTACAGTTTCAGTTCCGTGGCTGTGCAATTCTTCTCTGGTCGTGTGCAGAGGTTTTGTGGTTACGGGTGAGGATTGCAACAGGGATGTGATCATGGAGACTCTAATATCCAAATCATTTGAATTGGAAAATGTACTAAACTTACCATTCTCCTGTTTTGAATATATAAAGAGAGGTTTTATACTTGTTGATTAATTTCATGACAAGTTTATACCTAAAAATAAAAATAAATAAATAAAAAAAGGAAACCAAAAACAAAGCAGAAAATATTATCATTTACCAGCAAGCTATCCCAACATATCAGCAAAAGTCAGCACAGAAATTTCATCATACGGATTTACTCTTTCTAGACCTGCTAATTTTTGTAAAACAACTTCTTCTTCAGTGCAATGCAGCAGCAGCAGCAGTCAGACGTCGTCAGCCGATCAGGAAGAAGTAGGGTTTGTGGGGAGTGGGAAGTTTGGTGTTGACAGAAAGGGAGAGTTCAAGTATTTGGTGAGTGAGTTTGGTTGGAAGGTCATGAGTTTGTTTAGAAATGGGGGTGAGTTGAGGAAGGCAGCTTATGTTCAAGCTGGAGCATTCATGATTTCTTCTTCACCTTCTTCCAGTTTTCTATTATTATTTTTATACGGCGATATTCTACTTTGAGCATTTTTTTTTTATTAATAAAAATAAAATACTTTATAAGTTTAACGAAAAATCATATTTTTACGCTAAAAAGTCAATCTTGGTACTATTCACTTTACCTTTTATTTTGTCCTTATTGTTAAAACTCAAAATTTTCAAACCATTTTAATTAGTTTTCCTTTTAAACTAATCTAAAGTGCAAGACAGATTTAGAGTCATATATTGTAAATAATTTTTAGTTAAATTTTGTTTCTGCATATACAGGCTGAAGCGCTTTCTGGGCTTGTATATAAACTTCCGAGCGACAAGAACTTGTGGGAGTTGCGGACGTCACGGTGTCCAGAGACCAGGCTATCCTTCAGTATCTCCCATCTCAGGCACCGGAATATCTTTACGTGTCCGGCATTGCTGTTTTGAAGAGTTTCAGGAGGAAGAAAATAGCAACTGTTGTGCTAAAAGCGTGCGACACGCTCTCAGTAAAATGGGGCCTTGAGTATCTTGCCGTCCGGGCTTATGAGGATGATTTCGGTGCTCGCCAATAGTACTCGTACGCAGGATACCGAGTTGTCTCCAGCGAATCTCCATGACGAGTACTTGGATTGGACGGAAACGCCGCGTTCTGGTGGTGAAACACTCGATTAAGACATGTTAATCCTTGCTAACGAAGAAACAACGATGTTAAGACACTAATATAAAGAGGAGTGTTAAAATCGCTATCCTGATATCATCGCTAACGAAGAAACTACGATGTTCGATTAGAATTCGGGGGTAATAAACAGAAATATACAAAAATTACCCCAAACCGAAAAGCCGGCAAAAACTATTAGCTTTTATTAAGCTTAGAAGTTTGTCCAAAGAAAAAAGAAAATAAAAATACAATATTCCTTTTTTCTGCTCTTTTTTTATCCTTGGCAAAATTACAAATTTGGTATATGGAGGGGGGGGGGTTAGTTGTTGTTCCTTGCGGACAAACAATGGCCGAGCAAGTGAGCGGGTATATCTCCATCATCATCCTACTAATTCATGAATTTGCGACAGTTGGGAGCTTTACATAGACATGGAACTTTTAATTCGTCAGGCTCGTTGGGATCGAACAAGTAATCGTACCTGCGAGAGTCAACAACGGAATATGCAGCAGTGTTAAGCTAAATAGCTTCCTCGTAAAGAACTGAGAGATGGTGAGAAAGAGAAAAGGAGAGACATACGTTAGTTCATCGCCGCAAGTTACATCAGCCTTTGCAATAAGTACAATCCGGCTTTCTTCATCACCCACACTCATGATCCTCGCGTAGCAATTCGGCATGCACTGTAGTAAAGATAGGCAATAATATTAAACCAGTAAAGACGAGTGACAGTGACAACAGAAACAAGCTGGCAACAAGTACACGAATGAATCTGTTGAAGAACAGTAGAGGAGCAAATCACAAAAGGACAGCACCCTAACAATCATCACAATGACTTACTGAATGGTTGATCAGGCGTGCTATATTGCCTTTATCAGTGGCATCTACCACCACTTCTTCACTGATCTTAAACAACTGCAGAGTAAACATGAGCAATGAGAAAAGAAGCAAAAATGTAAAGAAAAAGGAGCACAAAGAATTTAAGAGCTGAAATTCTAGCTGGAAACAGCAGAACTTGGGAATCACATGGCTACAGAGACAACTAGAGCCGACTTGAAGGTAATTGTTTAAACCACTTGAAAAGAATTTAACTCACATAACAGTCTTTGCCTTCTGATCTATACCGTGCCTCCCTAAGATCTGCAACGCTACGTCTCACCTGTTCACCCCGATATTCAAGAACCTGGAACAGACGCACACTTCTTAGTACATTCTGTTTTCAACAAAATGGATTAATTTCTAAAGATACAAAAGCTGGTCATCTTAACGATAGACAATGTTCAAATTTCATACCATTTCTCCTTCTTGTATGTCTCTACGTGCAAAGAGACCCCATCCATGTATCCCAGATCTACCAAAGCAAACACGATCGTGTTCGGTTCTCTGCATTCATATACATACAGTAAGAAAATGAACATTGAATATCGAATGGCAAATGAGAAAGATCCTTGCCTGTAAATGGTATAGCCGTTCTCTAAAAGATGAAAATGTCGGAGGATCCTCTACAACCTATTGAAAAAAAAATGTCAGTTCGAGGTTCATTTATTTTACATCCCATATAAAAAGGCATGAAAAAGACTATCTATTCCATCAAATTCTGAAAGGTAAGAAAATTACTCTGAATGTGTTCAAACTTCGAATTGCTTCCAAGGGATGATGGGAAGGTCCCTTCACTTGGTGGGCAACGATTTCTTCTTCGGTTCTCTAGAATCAGAGGAAAAATAATAATCGTGAGGCTAATTACAGATCAAACTAATTCAACAATCTAACTGTTTATGTCAATTGATGATCACTATAATGTTTATGGTAGAGGCAACTAGGCATCAAGGTAGAATACCTTGTTATTTTTCAATCTTTTGTATACCCGGCACCTTGCAGCAGATAATGGCTCTGGCTCTGGCTCAGACTCCGTAGTTTCAACCGTCAAAACCTCTTCAAGCTTTGTTCTATTAGATGAAATTAACCTTGAACCAGTCTTCTTATTTTGGAGAAGGCTTTTCGCTGAAAACACCCCTAGAGGAGTCTGTATGATTAAAACAGTATCTGGATTTGGAGCCCTGCATGAAAAATGAAAAACAAAAGAGTTAGGAACTTACATATGTACAAGAAAACCAACAATTTGGAAGCAAAAGGACATAAGACAATACGAGAACCCAAACCTGTGATAAGCACAGTAAGAAACCATTTTTGTGGTCTGCTTTCCATTTTTCTCCAAACTGTGCAGCTGCTTATTAAGAATGCACAAACAAATGCAATCACATATCACCAGATATATGGTAATCTGATTCACAATGAGAAGGCGCCACAAACTAATAAATACGAGTATAATGAGAACAAACAAGGAGCAATGAGAAACTCACCTCCATCCGATAACCTGCCCGTGAGGCACACATTGCATGGTAATAAGTGGAACACTTGCAACATTGCATACATGAACCATGAATTTGCTTACAGATAACGCAAATCTGAAGCAGATGCGAACAAAAATTAAAACTCAGATTGGATCAGCTAAATATTTCAGGGTTCATTCTGTAAGACAAAATTAAAAGAACTAGAATCACAATCAATGACACGATGCATCCTGGAACATTTCTAGATCCACTATGTCAAAGTTATCGTACAACTCAATTCTTTATTCACTAATTGTAGATATGAAGGGTTAGGTGTCACTTTTTTACATTACCATGTTTGTTACATTTAAGAATATATGTCTTTGAGAGAACAATGTCAATCATGTGATTAGATGTCATATATCATAAACATTATCACCGGTATGAAATGGAATAGCCAAAAAACAACATACAAGAACAAAGAACCCACCTTCACAAAAGAATTTGATGGAATACTCAAGATCCCAAGAGCAGGCTCCATCTTTTCATCACTCGCAAAAGAGACTTCGGGTCTGAACCAAGCACATGTAATATGAACCCACAATGCGTCAATATCAGTTGGCTTTAAAGCACCTCCTGCAGGGAAAAAGTGCATAAGCACAATCAGAACAAAGACATGAGATCATGATAGCTAAATGAAACTTGGTGAAATGACAGAGCACGACTCAACAAATCTACTCTAGCTAGAAACTTGCCTTTTACAGGACAGAGGCAACATTCTCGCTTGACTTCGGGCGTTTCACATGCTTTGCAGACCCAAGAAGTAAAATCCCGAACATTTCTTGCTCCATAGCATTCTTGATGGACGGCTATCTGACATCTGATTGAAAAGAAACATTAGACATTAGCCAGATTTTCATGCCTTTATAATCTATGGAGTCTCTAAGGGGCATCGAACAGTTGGTCCTCCGACATCAGGATTTGACAATGAAAACTAATGAACCCTATTGATGATACCTGTTGCAGATGATGATTTTGTTGTAGTCCCAATCTTCAACCCATCTACATACAGCGCATCGTTCTGTTGTCCACTTGGCATGAACAGGTTCATACTTTTCTGTCATAGCAACCAGAGAGATACAGTTAATTTACATCAAATGTAAAATTATATGCACAAACATAGAAAACAAATATACCTTGCAAAAAAGTAAGCAACTTCTGCTTTCGTTCTTTAATAGAAGGCCGCTTAGGAGGCTTAGAAGACACGAGAGCATTTTCATGATACTCTGCTAACTGCAGCATCTGCAAAGTCAAGTGAGATTGCATTTTGAGTATGTTTCCCAAATTGAGAGGACAAGGGCATACTATTGAACGGTGGGGAGTAAAACATGAATCTCAATAAATAGTACCCATTGTTCCAGTGGCAGTAAGGAACCTTTCACTCTGACACTAGTCCTCCAATCTCTCGATTTGGAACCTGTGTGTCGCTCCCATAAACTAAGTGCTTGCTTTTCTGCCCCACAGAAGCCACAATTGCACACAACACTGAAACATAAGAAGGAAAATGTACGAATAAAATATTTTCAGATGTCAAACCAAAGTAAACATCAAATTGACTTCCATATTAAAATGAAAAATGTAACGATTAAGTAACATGAATTTAACCAGCAAGACTAATACCAACTAAAAGTCCTAACCAAAAACGAAAACTATTCATTCTTATTCTTACGAGTGAAGACTTGGAAAATAAATGCCTTCCACGCTGTTGCAAAGAACAGTAACCTTGTTAGGCAGCGCCAACTGACCATTATTTTTACTCCATCTGCACCAAAAACTCTATAATCATTAGGGAAAAGTCGGTTAAAAAAAGAACCAACTCATTCATAAAATTAAAAGTCAAATAGACTTACTTTACATTTGCTTGTCCCTTTTCAGAATCTGATAATTCAAAATTAAACTTGACTTTGCAAGTTGGGCAGTAGTAGTCAGTGCCTCCCAAATTCTTCAAAAAGGAAATAACATCGTCAGGGAAGTCTAGAATCCCTTCAAACTCATTATGAAAGAGAAAAACAACGAATTTAGGTATTTAGTATATTAGACGGACCTTAAAATGGTTGCTGGAGATTTTGTCACATTCTGCATGCACCCACACTTTACAACCATCACATCGGACCTACTCACAAAGGAAATATATATGAATAAATTGACAAGGAACTGCACTCTAAAGATAGGACGGATAATCACAATCCAAGGTAGTTTGTAGGTTTCCTCACCCAACTTCCACTGTCTGAATGATTCCAAATCTTCTTGCATATCCCACAATAATGTTTCGATTTTACTAACTGCAATAAGAATGACGCAAGCATTGTCAACAATGCACAATATCCTGAACACAGAGAAACCCTTCTTTTACTTTTATGAAGAACAGAATTTAAAACCAATAAATAACACCTAACACAAGGTAGGTCATACTAACCCTAGCACACAATTTACAAAGATATTGGCCTCCGGAAGCTGGATCCTTCATTTTCCTTATCATTTTAAAAGGAACATACAAGCCGCAGCCTTCACAGGGTCGTATGTCATTCTTCCTCCCAGATACATCCTGCTCAAAGAAACCAATTCAATACACTGGAAATCTAAAAGAAAAGTGTCTACTATTGCAGTGAAAACCTTTCCCTTTCAATAGTTAAGAGAATAAGAAAAAGAAGATATTTTGAACCTAAGGTATATCAACACTGGATATCTCCGCAATGAAGCACAGTTCTGTTCTCAATAACTAAGCAAAGCAATAGCCAAACTTCCATCAGCAAACCCTGTTCTGATGATACAGAACTGTTTGAATTAATCTTTGGATGTTTGAGCAATTCTATGTTCAATATTGTGTCCTAGAAACTACAGAATTTAAAAGACAGGAAACAGTGCTGTGAGAGAACTTGCCTGGTCCAGATCATGATTTGAACCGGTAGCCTCTTGAACCCCTCTCTGTAGAGAATCATCATACATTGCTGCCATATTTATATCTGCTATCAACTTTTCTGTAAATCCTTGTTCCACCAAAAATGCCTCCTCAATTGCCATCTGGAATTCACAGGGCTCACAACTGTTCAATTCAGGCTGCTCCTGGAACCTATACCAAGTAAAATGTTACATAACGACAAAGCAGTTACCAAATTGCAACTCAAAGGTTTACGAAACAACAACAGCCACACACACCTGTCCACATAATCCATAAAGGGAAAAATCTTGCCACGTTCAACCCAAGCATAATCCTGTTCAAGATCATACAAAATCTTATAATAAATGCCACTCTTCCAAACATGAAAACATCACAATTTCAGAAAAACAGATGAACTCCGTATGGGAAGTAATTCATACCCGTTGATTCCCATTTCCAGAGTATCCAAAGAACATCACACAAGCTGCATCGGGGATGCAAGCCCTCAAAACTAGCTCGGGCGCTTGCGACATTGGATCAATGACAATGGCAGGCCAGAAAGGCTCATTCTTCCCTGGCATTGCCCACACTGTATCACCCGAATAGAAATCTTCAGGTCCATACAACCCATCTTTCCTCTCGCCATTCTCCTTTGCAGCCTTCACTGTCCCCACTAAACCATCTTCTTCATCAATTTCCACAACTGCACGCTTGTCATCTTCAACCATTTGCTCACGCATTGACGAAAGTGTGCTTGGCGACCTTGAAAACTTTCTAATATCGAAACTCTTAAACGGCACACTCCCCTCAACTTCCTCGTCTTCATCTTCTTCGCACAAAGTCGAATACTTCTTACTGTTATATCCAATTCTATCCACATTTCTCATCTTTTTCGCATTTTGGCTAACAAATTTCGGGGCTTTAAAGCTAGGTTTCTCTTTTTTACATTCAGTCTCCTCATCTAAACTACAATCTCTTACACTTGTCTTACTTTCTTTCTTCCAATTCTCAATAACCGAGTCATTAAACCGAGAAGGAAGTACCTGAACTCGGCCCCGCGACGTCCTCACCAGTGGCGGCCGCGAAACCTCCGTCTTCGCTGTGGCGGCTGACTCTCTGTTCTTCGATTTCGACTCATCCTCGGGGGAGCAGGAGACTTCGGGGATAATACCGGCGGCCCCAACTGAGCCGAGCAAGCCGTGGAGGTTGACGGGGATAATACCGGCGGCGACCTCGCCGAGCAGATTGAGAAGGTAATACCCATTAGCCTTCCTCTTCTTCCTGCCCGAGTTATCGTCGTCCTCACCCGGTGACTCGCCGAGTCTGCACCGTTTCAGACTCGGCATTTGGGATTTGAGATTCTTCTTGATAATCATTGTATCAGAAAATCAAAATTCACAAACTCCACGAATCGATGAATCCCATAAACCCAAAAGGTGAAATCTTTTCACTGCAGCATTAACATCCAACAAACCCTTTTGATTTCATAAAAAACCCAATTCCCAAATCGCCTATAAACCCTAATCCCCAACTGGGTTTCCTCAAAACAGAGCAGTTCAAACGATACCCACTACAGAATCGTTTTCTCGGGAAACAAACAGAAAAATTGGGAGAGAAACAGCGCAGAAAGAATGCTCGAGAATTAGACGAAAAGGATGGAAATTGAGAAGAAAAAAGTTGGATTGGGAAATAGGGATCTATCTATATATCCAGGAAGTCTCTTTCCAACTGCTTCAGAGCGCAGAGAGAGAGAGAGAGAGGAGAGAGAAAATAAAATTGTTGTGATTGTAATGTAATTATGTTAAGCAGCGGAAGGGAATAAAATTTGATACCAGAATATTTTTTCTGTTTTAATTTTCTGCGAAAGCTTTTAGAGAGAGAACGAGCGAGGGGAGAGAGAGGGGGCCGGCGTTATCTTTGCAAAGCGTTATATTGTAGAGAGAGAGAGAGAGCAGTGGTACGGGCTAACGTGCACCTAACGTGTTTAGAGCGCAATTCTTCCTGGCAAGGTCATGAGAGAGAGAGAGAGAGAGAAAGAGAGAGAGAGAGCATAGTCGTCTTGGACAATCTGGTAGTATAGTACCATTCTTTGGGATGAGTCTTTTAAACCCAAAAATTTTTGTTTTAAATTTTTGGTTGCAGAGTGCAAAGACATGTCGCAAAAGTCTTGTGTTCCAATAAAGTTGGAAACTTTAAATCCGAAACAACAAATGTCGCATTGAATCGAAGTTCTATGTTCTTGGTTTTGTTCTGAACCAATTTGTAACTTTAGTACGATGGTTTTGTTTAGTTGATTGACGTCTGTTGGATTTTGTTTGGAGCGCTGAAAATTTGGGGGGGGGGGGTTGGTAACAGGATGGTGGTCACCGGAGCACGGCGGCATAGGTACTGTTTTTGTTTTTTGGGTTTTCAAAATTCTTGAAGAATTTTCCCACCAATTTTTTTTAGTGGGGTTATTTTGGGTATCTTCTTTTTCCCTTTCTTTTTTGGGTGTCTTCACAAAAACTTTCATGTTGGTTCTCCTGCTAGTACAACTCCTGTTCTAAAAATTGACCTCAGCGGGTAGGGGTCGTCACATTGTTTCAAAAAATCGGTGGGGACCTAGCAGGCCGTCTCCGAGCCAAGGACCAAAAAAAAAAAAAAAAAAAAAAAAAATGATACTTTGAAGTTGTCGAGGGAGGGGCGAAGATAGCCTTCTCTCAAATTATTGTTTTTGCGGTACAAGGAAAAATAAAATTTGCTAAGAAGTTTTGGTTTGGTGGTGGTGGTGGTGTTGGGTTGAACTTCTCTGTTCTTGAAACTGAATAGCATCGTGGCCTCCCTCTGTTTTCAGGCCCAAATGGAAGTTAGACATTTTCTTTCATATTTTTCGATTTGTAAATTGGTGTTTTTCGATAAGGTTTGTTTATTTTTTATTTTTTGGTTGCATCGACGGATAGCTCGTGAGAGACGGTTGAGGATGTTTTTCCCAACATTTTTATGTTGTGGGTTGTGTTGCGAAGGTGGGTGTTTGTTTTTTGAGATTGGTTGTGTTTTTAGGTGGATGGGTTTTTGAGATTTCGTGTAGAGATTCACCAACCACTAATTTTTTGGGAGGTCAACGCCAACCTACCAGCACAAGACAATCGTCAAACAATGTGTTCTTGGAGTTGAATTTTAAGAAGAAAGGGATTGGGCACAAAGAAAGTCTTGTGTTCGACAGTTGGATCACGTATATGCCTGTATATAGAACCACGTGTATTACAATATTAGGACTTTTGTATTCTTGTGTCGCTAACGCCTGCTCGGAGTCCCGCCTTGTGAGAATTTAGAAGGGTCGGCCGCCCGTACAGGCGTATACGAGTTCGTTCTTCCATGAAGCTTTGATGGTTATGGTGTTTCAACAAATTTTGACACCAAAAAGGTTCGACAGCAGTAGCTTATGTTATGATGTGGGCCCATCTCTAACAATCCCATGTTTTTGGAAGTTGGAACACACACAGCACAGTGTACTTGTTCAGTTTGCATATATTTGTATGTACGAGAAATTGTAACTGAGATTAGTTACGAGTGATCGGTAGGAAGGTTGCAAGACAAGAGGATGACAACGTCGACGGTCAGAGCAATGAGGTGGTGACGTGGAAGAACTATGGGCGGCTGTCACCGACCTCGCGCTAGGAGGATAATGTAACGAGGGGATCGTCCTTGCAAAATTTGGAGTCAGATGCAAATCAAACTGCAAGCTTTTGTTGTTTTGTAAAATTTTCTCAGACCACTCACGATTTTTTGGTACGGGAGAAACCAAGCGGAAGAAAGATCTGATAAGGTCTGATTCCGCATTTTACCTTTAACACAAAGCGAAAGAAAGATTCGAACTCAAGTGTATATAGGTGGAGCAAGTATGCCGCTCTAATTAATGTCCACACCCGTACTACAATCGAGCCGCCAAGCCTGAGTCACTCAATCCCCATTTTGAGATGGCCTTTCTGTCATGTTATTCTTTGGTTCGAAATATTATTTAAACTCAGAATGTAATGAGTTGAAAAGAAAGATTCTATCTACCAAAACAATTCATCACTTGTGTATAAGACAAAACTAAAATTAGACAATAAGGGATTGGTTCTATACATAATCCCATCAAATAAGGGGGGAAAAAGCATGAATCATTGAAACCGATCAAAATTTGCCCGGGTTGATTTGAAACCGATCAAAATTTGGTCGGATTGGTTGAATTGAAACCAATGAAATAAATTGAAATAAACATTCCATCTCAAGAAAGTGATCAAATTACCATTGTTGAGCGAAAGCACGATTGCAGAAGTGGAGGAGAGGGACTAGAAAGTAGAAAGATTGCCATTTCATTACATAGGATATGAACAAATACAACTGTTTGCTTCCCCCGCCCGATTATTCAACATACATACACCCTTATTCAACATACATACACCGTATTTATATCGATACGTAGTTTGGCCATGTACGTACGTAGGTCCATAGAAGAGCTTATTATTACAGAAGATGATATAAGAGATCAAACACTTGGCAGAGGAGGATTTTGGGTTGTCTAGCCTAAACTGATTACTACTACCGATCTCATCTCTTCCACTACATCATCATTCGACCTAGCTACTTCATTTCTACATTCTTATTATTATTATTTCATACATATATTATATATATTAGTCAACGGTTATTTGCCTCTTGGCATACGATTCTTCGGTCTTGGCAAACCTTCCGCGGATCCTTGGCTGGTTGTCTGCAAGAGCCTTCCTGCACGCATACTGAAACGAAAGCATTTAATCAGTTTCCTACTTACTGTAACGTATGAGCTCAAGGGCCGAATCCAGAAAACGGGAAGTATATAATAAAGTGCTTCAATCGGCAAGAGATGCTGTTGTAGTTACTCAAGTATAGACATGCAGCTTTTTTTAATCTAAAGCTATTAACGGGACTGAAAATCATCGATGCATATAAAGCGAACAACCAACCCTGTTTCAACAGCCTCGAGTAAACAATCACAAAGGTCAATCGGAAAAGGTGAAATGTGCGTAAGATCATTGATTAATAGAATAAAAGAAACAGATAATGCTTGTCCAATGCTGCAAATGTTGCTTCGGTACAAAGCTATGCAGGAATTTTGACTGTATATCTCACTCCGATATGTTTCCATTCAATTATTTATTCAATGTTACAGTAGTGAGTCCATAGAAACAATATTGATCGGGATTTTACCTTGATTTTCCTGCCGAAGTTCCTCTTTGTCTTCTTGTTGCGGTATCTTGAAAGCTTTTCCCTGCGTTCCTCACTGCTGCAGTTGCTGATAACTATGGGCCGCTCTACAGACGACTGGATGAGGCTTGTGTTACTGTTACCGAGAGTCTGTCATAAAAACTCAGTATCAATGACCTAGTCCCATCCTGTGGAAATAGCCAGACATGTCTAAACATTTCTCAGTCCACCAGTCTTTGTTACAAAGCTAATAATTACTTATTGATCTATTGGAAATAAATGAATTATCAATCTGTCTTAAAAACTCCCTGCACGGGGTTCATTTCGTTATAGATTGTCTAAAGGCTATGAGATAAGGACTCAATCGTTGTTTGTATGAGAAACATAGGCTGTCAAAGTCAGATGTCCATTGAAGTAACAGGGTCTACTTTTCATCATTTCATGACCTTTTGATTCATAACTCTTCTCACCCGAATCGTTGTTGTGTAGACAGGTGATATTTTAGTTCTCGTAAGAATTTAAATATTTTCAAACCTCATATGTATATAGCATAAAATAACTAAGCTAACTATATCTGACCTTAATATCTCCTTCACTGAACGCTCTACGAATCCCATAAGCACCCAAATCCATCCCAGGAAAATCCAGAAAACTTGGCTTCGTTGAAGTTCCGTGCACCCAGTCCATTGAGGTTAAACATCCTGAGCTGACACTCTTCTGAAACGACACGTCACGGAGCGGTTTGTTTTCCTGAATATGATTTCCATCCACTGCCAAAACAGGAATTTTGATATCTAGTTCCTCAGAAAGCGGTGCTCCCATCGTGTCCTTCCCTAAGATATCCTTGTCATAGAAGACATCGTTCAAAAGCTGCTCACTTTGAAGTGATTCAAGGTCTGCAACCTTGAGTCCTTGAGAGGAGGTGACATCTTCGCTGCAAGATATCATTGAAATGGCTGCTGTCATGGGTGTCATGGGATCAAGGCCAATGGCCGGTTCTTCGATGATAGGCTCTGGAGCCTTGAATAGATCCCATTCTCCTCCCAGGTCATAATCCGCTATCATCGAAGCCTCGGAGAAGCAATTCTGCATTAGCCAAAGAAAAAACACGACTTCAGACCTAAACAAACATGAAAAGTGATTGGCAATGCCTAAAAAATAGACCAAAACAAACAAAGTGGAAAAGTTGGCAACCTCTCTAACTTTATGACACTCACCAATAATTGGGCAGTAAATTTTACCGCAAAGTAATTCTTTTAACACATATATTACACTTCCACGAAGATTTAACTATTTTTACCACTCAAGTTAAAAAAACAAAGAAGATGTTTTCCTTCTTTAGCATTCAGACTGCATTTGAAAAATGGAGGAAAAATAATAGAGCACGTAACTACGAAAACGTTTCCAATTACACCAGTATCTCTATTTTACACTTTTCCAGATAATCCAGCTCATAAAGCAAAGTCCAGCTGTTACATTGCATGCCCTGATGAAAAAAAAAACAAGAAGACCAAGATATTTTCATTTTCCTTTTTTTTTTTTCTTTTTTTTTTTTCTTTTTTTTGGAAACCGAGAAACAAGGCGGTGCAAAACCGACATTCTGGGATTCATACAGCCAACGCTACTTAGTGAGATAGGGGTTTTTTTGTTGTTGTTGGGAACCAGAAACAGTGTTTTGGATTGAAATTTATGATTAAATGTGGGAGAAACATTGATAATTAAGAAGGAAAAATCCATCTTTTTCCTCTCCAAAATTAAACATTTATGACTTGTTTGATTGTTAAATATTCAAACTTTACAAAGAATTAGTCAGAGAAATTAGTAATTTTCTCTCTTTCCCACTTCCTAACTTGAATCCCCAAAATTTGACATTTTCCCACTGGTTTTCTCAGCAATCAGACAGGGAATTAGGTGAAAAATTAAACCAATAAACATAAATAAATGTCAAAGTTTTGAACTTTGAGCTTCATGTATATTGAATCCATAGATAGTCCCCATTTTCTCGAGAAACAAACGGAGGGGGAGTGTTATTGATTTAATGGGACAGAGCATAGACTAAATCACAAGAGAGCAACCCAAATTCACAAACTTTCCACTAATTCAGCTAAAACCCATGTCAGAAACAATCAATTCAATGCAGATCAAGAAAATCTATGAGAAAAACCAAGACAAAAATCACAGAACTAATAAAAATTTACAAAAAAAGTGCATACACATGTGTGTAGAGAGAGAGAGAGAGAGAGAGAGAGAGAGAGAGAGGGTACCATTGGAGCAATTGACTTTTGGGTTCTGCAGAACTCCTCCAGCTGCTGGAAATCCTGAGGAGAATTCTGTAAATAGGGGAACAAAAGCCCAGTCTCTGCATACATTCTCAAAGAAGAACCCAGAAACAGAGCAAACAGAAAGCACACTGAAGTGACAGAAACACAACAGCAACAAAATGCTAGAGAGAGAGAAATAGAGTCTAGGTTTGCTTGGGTTTGGTCACTTTAAGTTTAGGAGTAGGAGAGAGAGAGAAGATGGAGAGAATTTATATAAAATTTACTGAGTGGGGAGGACTAGTATTATTCAGTCAGATGATGATATAATATAACAAAGACAAAATAGAGAAAAAGACACAATCATTTATATAATGCAGTGTCCCCATGCCTCTTATCATGCTCCCTTTTTAATATATTATTTTTACTATTTAAAAGATTCATTTATTGCAATTTGCAAGGGAGTGAGGGTGATCAGTGATCTGCTGATTTTAGTTGCAGATATATGCTAGTTGTATTATTAATTTATTGCAATTTGCAAGGAAGTCAGGGTGATCAGTGACCTGCTGATTCTGCTCTGCATCAGGCCAACCTGTTGAGATGTTTGTGGGCTGGACTGTTGGGTGCTTGCAAAGATAATCGTAATTGCCAAATTGGCAATTTGGCATCTCAGCTTCAAGTTCATTGCTTTTGGAGTTCACCGTAGAACTCAACACAATCGCATTTCTTCTTCTAGGGTATGATTGTAGGAGAAGACTGACTGATTGGAATAGTTCTGACGTCGGATGAGACCACGGGAAGTTAAGTGGGATGAAAATGCACAAAAATCTCATATTTTTGTAAAATACGTCTTACAAATTACGTGATCAAGCATCTGTACACAAATTTTTACCATAAGTGGAGACTTAACTTGTATTGTACGTTTGTAACCTACATTTTACAATTTGATTCCAAGTCATGCATCTAGCTAGCTACACACAAAGTTACGTAAAGCTATAGTGGATTATGTTGGAATTTATTCGTTTATTTAGTAAATTAATAGAGAATTGATTTGATTTTGTATTAGTGTATTTTTTGTATCTACGCGTTGAAGTTTCTTAGGTTTATGTCGCTATAAATATAGTTTGTAATTTAGTTTGAGATTGAAGGTAGTAAGATTCTTACGAATTTTGTAACCATTTCAGCATTCTTGTTTATTTAATAATATTCTAACTTTCGAATTTCGTTGTCCATCGTTTGTTTGTTCATACATATGTGAATTTTGATTTTCACCTGATTAGTCCCAGTTATTAGCTACAAAATTCAATTGAGTAAATATGTAATGTGAAATGCAACATCACATAAGTAAAACAATCCCTCAATGCCTTTCAAAGAATAAAACAATCCTAGTTATTAGCTGTATACCAAGTCATACACTTCTCTTTCTTTTTTATCTAATTTAGGTTTGATTTTATTTGCTATGGTTTTACTAGTTTTATGGCACACCAATTTGTAGAATTAGCATTGTTCACATCATCTCAAAGTTTTTGTTTGTGAATGCCTTCGAGTGGTTTGCCAATCTGAAAAGTCATATCAAGAGTGCTTCTACTTTCCTTTTATATTTGCTCATCACACACTTATAAATATTCTTTGCATGTTTAATTATTGGGTAATGATAGGTAGATCAACTTTTTTTTTTTTTTTTAATCAAATTGGTAAAAGGGTGTGCTATCCACACACCCCATTTTACTTCTCACACTCCTCTTGATAATTTACGTCCGTTGATCTTCTTCAATTCATCCGATCCGACGGCAGAAAATTATAAAGGGGTGTATGAGAAGTAAAATGGGGTGCGTGAATATCACACCCCATTTGTTATGTGATGTGTCACTAATAGGAAATAAACATGTTAATCAACACTTAAGTAATAATTAAATTATCAACAACCACTTCATATGGTTTTAAAATTTTGGTCCAAATAGTTGGTCTCCCACCCTTAATTATTTTTAAGGTAAGATGCATTTTTGGTTATAGTCTTTTGCTTGGATTTCAAATCTGTTCATTGTGTTTTTATTTTTCTCAAGAGAAAGGCTAAGGTAACTCTCTCAAAAGTAGGACTCTATGCCACCTCATGTTTTTAGTACAATATTTTATAATGTTAGTACAAGAACTAACGTTAAACTATAAGATGATAGAGAATTCATAGAGAGTCCCACTTTGACAAAACCAAAAATGTCTGCAAAGTGAACAAAGTTGAAATCAAAGAACCAATGACCAAAATTGCAGACATTTTTGGTTTTGTCAAAGTGGGATTCTCCATGTATTATCTGTCACCTCACAGCTTAACGTAAATTCTCGTGCCAACATTATCATACATTGTACAAAAAACATAAGATGGTGGAGAGTCCCATTAGCATTTCTCAGAAACAAAATGCAGTTGAAATCTGACCTTATACTTTTAAATCATCAACATAGAGTTGATTGCAAATTTTTCCCATACTTAAAAAGAGAACAATACTATTTGAAAAAACACAACAAAAATCCATGCGCTCAACCATACATTGTTGGATACACATACGATACGATGCGATATACGATACACTTGTAGGTAAAATTATGTTTCATTGCTCAACCATATGTAAGCTCATCAAAGTCACTATCTGATAGATTGAATATAGTTCATCAAATTTGGATTGACGAAAGTTTGAGTTGAAAGAAAGAGTCGCTTCAGCTAATAATAATTAGAATAGTAAAGGTGCTCTTGTGATTAGCTAGCTAGTGTCACATAATCGACTAGTTTTTCCTGTAATTATTGACATTTGATTTAAATAAGTGTGAGGACAGAATATAATACTGTTGTTCTAGCAAAAATATCAGCAGTAGTTTATCAGTCAAGGATGTTATCACAATGCGTTGAAAAATAGTGAAAGAGGACAATTTCATGCGTATGATATGAACTGCCCTTTCTATTTACCTTCATCACATTTTAATTTTCTAGTGCCAAATTAGTCCTAGTATCGAACCCGTCATTTACTAGAGTTGAATTTAAAACTTCTCATTTATAGATATAGATGAATATTATTAGATGTAATCAATGTAATATGGTAATTCCATCATATGCCGGCGAGGAGTCTTTGATTCTCTCGCTAAACAAGTTCACTTCATTAGCTTCCTCGGCGAAGTGAGGTGTACCCAGATTACTTAGCGTTCGGCTCATTGAAAGCCGTACTATTATTGAACTTCACAAGAAAAGGCATAACCTTATCTTCGGACTAGCAGAAACCTAGGCTGCGAGTGTTCCGTTCTTCGATCGAAGTTGCTCGGTGTAATTTTGTTTTTTTTCTTAAGTTAGTCTCAAGCATAACAAATTGAAACAGCATATATGTTTATATACATCCAAGCATGAAATACGTCATCTAATATTGAAGCCAATAGTCTTGTTAGAAAATATATAAATTGTTAGGAAAATGACTTATTAGCTGTAAAACTAAAAAGTTTGAAGATAGATTCTACATGTCCTCCAATTTGATCAAATATTCAAATTCTCTTTCAATATAGAGACTTCGTCCACACTGCAATTTGGAATTAAGGGGAAAAATAATGTTAAAGCGTCAACTGAACTTTAGTCCTTTTCTCAAACTCAACGAAGCACAACGAATAAGTCTATATATTGCATGAGACCGATGCAAATGCAGAATTAATATTGGAACAAGAAAAGAGACCTGAAAAGTAAACCATTCTTGTTGTATAATTGTTTTCTGATGGGAAAGAGGAAAATTCTGATTTTTCCTAAATTTATATTGATGATTGTTCCTTTATTTATTTATTAACAAAGCGATACGTCACTTGCATTCACAATCACTTTTACTACAAGAGATGATACTGATGTATATACGACCTTGTGCTTATAACACACAATACATACATACATACATACATATATATGTATATTATAAGTACACTGATGTATACTACAGGTTTAAGATTGTATACATCAATGTAAGTTTCTTTCATTTTAGAAAGAGATCGATAATAAGAAAACCCTAAAATATGGAAGGGAAACCTACTTTCGATTACCTATAATTAATAATGACTGGGAAAAAAAGATATTTATGGATATAGTGACATATATATATATATATATATATATATATATTATATTTTGTGTCAAATATAGTGACATATACGGGCTTAGCATGTAGCTTCTAGTTGTATCTAACTGGAACTGAAGTTCACGTTTTTAAAAGGAAGTGTGAAAGCGAAACCCAAAAAAATATAGGAATAGGAATAACCCACTATGAAAAGGGGTTTCTTTTTCAGACGTATAGTTTAAATAATTGTTAAGTCAAAAAGCTTTCAAGTTAATTTGAAGGAAAATTCCATGAGACAAATATGGAGTGGGGCTGTAAAGTTACAGGGAATTCCAACCACAGAATGTACACAAAACCTTAAACTCCCCCGCATTGGGACAAAAAAATAAAATGTAGAAGGGAAGCTCTCTAGCCATAAACTTAATTACTATAGCTGGCAAGGAACCTCAAAACAAAAGGCTTTAAGATGCAGAGACTTTGCAAGCTAGCTCTTCTTTTGCATGTCCATGTCAATGGAGATGGATAGATTGCAGGAATTGCTCGCGTCCATTTGGCGCTTTCGGATCAGTACACTTGGCAGCTGAAATTTGGTAGTGGACACTTTAGCAGGCAAAGAATGAAATAATGTCTTGGCTTTGCCAGTTATCATGGGAAATGATTGTATATATGCATGGTTGCTCAGCGCATACATATGGGTCGGCCATGTGCCTATTTCTTTCACGTTTTTCTGTTTCTTGTTATATAGCATAAGTCTATATGAAGCCACAAATTCTGCAGTCTTGAAGCTGACCTAATGAAAGAGAGGTGAAGTGAACTTGATCGTTTTGTATTAGCATCCTTAAGCTACGACTTGTTTTTCTAAGAGACAAAAATTATTCCTCTCTCAAAACCCTAATGATTTCCTTTTCTCACGAATGAAGAGGTGCTCTTGAGAATCTATGCTTTGGGAGTTCCATTTTCTGTTTTGATTTAAATCACATGGCTAAATGGCAAGTGGCACAAGCTTTAGATGAATACATAGGTGATCGGAAAATTTAACTGGTTGTAAATCCTTACGTTTCACTTCATCATGCTGCATGCATGCATGTCGCGTGAAAAAAGAAGTCTTAAAAATTTAGGGACAGTAGTTTATGCGGGCTCTTTTTTTTTTTTTTTTTTTTTCATCTATACAGTTATTTATTGATTTTCAATTGCATGAATCAAAGAATAAT